GATTATAAGCTTAATGAGCACGCAACGTTGAAGCTTCCCCACACAGGGAGGAAATGCACATAAGCTACAATCTTGAGTTATTTCTTAAAGTATACAAACGAAATGTAAATCAGTCTAGTTAGATGACAGGAGGTTGAGTGTGTGAGGTTGGTAGTGTACTTGTTTCTTACGTGTGGGTTCCCTGGGTCTGGATCCCTATGACGGACGATGGATTCACACTGTTGTAGAGACCCAACTAGATAAAAGCAGCTGCCCAGTTAGTCATATTTTTTTCAGTACACCCTTCGTTTGCTCTGTACACTTAACGCGATTCACCATACATTTCAACCGAATCCACCACTACTCTCAAGAATGATAGAGCGTTACAGTGGTTTCACTTTTGTTTTTCGTGGTGTGTCTATCTGAGATCCAATAAAATTACTCTCTGGTAATAGGTCATGTGTGTGACCACAATCGAAATTTGGCAATCGAAACAAAAGAAACGTCTCTTTTTCTACTGGCACTCTAAATGTTAAAATACTATAAATTCTCGAATACCTGTCAGGTTCTCTTAATACAGAAATCGCACTCGAAGAAACGGCGACAGAAGAGGATTCATATGTTTGAACAGGTCACCTGGAAAATCGTATTATCCACAGTGGTAAACCTATACTTTTCATGCGATACAAATGCAAACTCACCTATGGATTGATATGATTATATCATAGCCATACATCTTTCTATGCAAATCTACCATTTTTATTTTTCTCATACATATATATATATATATGGTTCCACCGATATCCCCCTGCCCGTGATGTGTAATACATCATGCATGGGGTTCCAATGCAACATATTCTCCTAGTTTCCCGAACAGCAAAAATATAGCTGTGAGTGAGATAACTAGTTAATTGAGAATCAAACAGAAGTACCCCGGCATCGTTTACATAAGTAATTCCTCACTGATATCATACATCTTGCCCAAAGTAGTGGGATGGAGAAAAAGGCAAAATATAAGAACCACTCGAATGCGCCAAACAACAAAATGGTTTCTTTTTGCTACCATCGCCGTCTGATATCCTGCCGCGGTGCGTAGCAAATGACAATGTTTCATCGATCATTTTTCACTTTAAGTCACTAAATATTTTTGAGGTTAAAACTAATATTATTTTTGTTCCGTTTGTGGTAACAATATTTGATGTCCATTGCTCTAATTCTGCGTCATGCATGAGTCTTCTTCATTCGCATCGCCTGAATTGCTCCTTGATTCGACTTAAAGTATTCGTTCTTTCTCTGTTATTGCCTTGTCACATCTCAGTTGCCTTCAAAGTAAATGTTTGCCCCTTTTGACGACCGGTTTCATTTTCACCAAATAAACTGAGCCCCGTTACTTTTCCCTGATTCATCAAAGTTCTGCACCCGATTTCCTTTATTCTTACCCGGTGAAACCGCGCAGAAATTTCTCCTAACAATTCACCCAGTCGTTGTCAATGCCACGTACTCTAACTGCATTGCTCAAAACAGACCACGCTCACATGAGTTTGACGTGAGTGAGACCAGGCTGTTAGTCACGCATTTTTTCCCCTGTTTGCCAACGGATGTACATATTGACTCTGTCACGAATGACTGCCGTGTTGCTTCGCTCGTATCTCCCCCGGTGCGATGGATGCTGTGGGAGGCCGTTGACAGACGAGTATCTCGCTGTCTCATCGGAAATAATGATTAACTTTATGGTCAAATGTTAGACCGGAAACATTCTGCTATGCACCGATGGATTGATTCCGTTGTTTCTTTAATCGGCCGAGCTAGAAAAATGTATGGTCATTTCACATATTGTAAATGATTTGATAACTGTGGTCTGGCTGTTTCTGATATTTCCTGCATATAAACATGTTTTCCCGACAGTGTTCAAACGAATTTGGAGGCTGGAGTAATGACATCGGGGATTTTGCTAAGCTGTGCATCTGCTCTTCAGTGCTCCCTAAATACCTTGCATACAAATTAAATCGGATAAGACTTATTTAGAAATTTCATGCAATCAGTTCCCTTTAACATTTTCATGAGAGTAAAAGAAGCATCATGGTCACTGAATGTGTTGAATTTAACTATCTCGTGTTAATCTCATCAGCCAAGTACATACATTAAGACTGCGTTTGGAAACAGAGTGACAGGTTTGGGGGCAGGTGAACACACAGGGGGAAGAGAAATCGATCAGTACGTAGGTCAAAGGGTACTAATTTTAGCAGGATTGGGTATAAGGGCAGGAAGGTAATTATTGAAGAGTGGGGGTAGAAGAAGGACAGTGACACCTACCAGTGCAGCATGAGGCTAGCCACGAATTCGGCTTATTTACATAAATCGGGCTTGTAACGTGGACTGGTAGTTGCTTGAGCAAATTGTAGCAGACAGCTACCCTTCTAGCGGATCAAGACACGAAAGGTGCTCCTAGGCTTGTCACATTCTTTGCAATCGGTTTGTGCGGGGTGGGCCAGGGAAGCTTTAGCGCTTGCACAAATTGATTGATTTCCCTTCCCCGTGTGTGCTCGCCTCTACCCAAACCTGCCACTCTGTTTGCCAAACGTGATCTGAATGTATGTACACAGCTGATGAGATTACCACGAAATAGTTAAATTCAACACATCCAGTGATCATGATGCTTTTTCATGATCTGATAAAAATTGGGTAACATTTGGAAAACAGGACAATTAGATTCTCCAACCTTAAATTGAGAATCAGATGGCCAGTTTCAATCCTATGTTTTGTACTGATTATATTATCTTATGGTTTATCAGAACTCAACAGCAGGAAGCGAATTATGGTGTTTACAGAGTGCCACATGTCAATCTGTTGGTTGGCAAAATTTGCTGTTCACGTACACCGCATCTATTGTCCATAAACTTAATGGTCTTAAGGTTCCACAGCCATTCTCATAGGTACGTGTGTCACGAATGAAACAGATACATTCCTCTCACTTGAGATGTGGGTGAACAAAAACAAATTATAGAAAAGCAATTACATTGGTGGATGATCTAATTTTTGGAAAAGGAGTGAGGAACATTTTAGTCTCCTATTTCTAAGCCACGTCTGTTTGACTTCCGACATTTTCTTTTTTCATTGAAATCATTTCAGATACAAATGAACAAATGCGCTCAAGCTTCATTTATCAACTGATTTATTCTCAAGTATCTGGTTTTGTGATTCGAGTGTATAATGCTCTTTTGAAATGAACTGAAGCCGAGAGGTTCGTGTTAACACTTTGATGCAGAGCATACGCAGATATTTAGCACATTCTATAGTTCATCATTGCCAAACTAAGCTCCAAGCTCCGTTTAATTGGATCTAGATCAACAATTTTCCTACGATGAAATAATATGACGATCTTTTTAAGTGTCTCTTACTTCACTTGTGCCCAGGGTACAAGTTATACTCGTTGGATGCTTATCCATCTCCCATAATGCTTCCCTCAGTGTTACCCTCTGGTACTATAGAAAGTTTGAGACTCTGGGGTGATCACATAGGTTCTCATCTTACTTATACTAAACCCACAGCAACTGTGATCAAAGCGCTCCAACCCTTGTACAGATGGAGAAAGAGAACAGTTCGGGCACGTGGCATTCTCCTCTTTAGTCAGAGCTGTGGAAATCCTTATCCATCTCAACCGACATCTCTCTTACAACACACATTTAGTGTGTTTACCTTAAGCATCTTATCACACTTGGCCAAATCTCTGGAACTTGACCGGTCCTGATGCCGCGTGAAAAGATGATAATTAGTTCTTCAGGCAAACTCACATGCAAAATAAGCGACAAATAAAAGTGAATTACGCGAACAGCTATCCGATTCTTCCTTTTCATCCGAAACTCAATACAGAATAATGTATAATGTGCACATTGTGTGTTAGAAAACATTAGAATTGTCCCTGATGTCCAGTTTCTTGAGTTTTGGACAAATCTGACCAAAAAACTATCAGAATCATCACTGAAACTCTTCAAGCTCTGTTTGTTTCAAATCACCTCCCTGAGATGCAAAATAATATTGGGGAAGCCAAGGTTGCACTGATGATGTTGCCTAGCCGGGCAACGAAACGTCTGCGAATAATACTTCTATCTCGGAGAACACACCACCCACAACATCCACATCNCCACACCCCGAGCCACAATCGTGCCACGTTAGTTCCGATGCAAATGACGTTTGTGTTCCTCAATATACTGTTCTATTTATGTGATTATAAAAGACCGATAACTTGATAGTTTGTCACTTCGTTCAAATCATTCTGATTCTGAGCAAATGAGTCTAGCTGTTCAGAATCGTCATGGTATTTCTCTGAATAGATTTATTTTAACATTATTATGATCGTAAACATACTTTTTCACCGGTTTGATCCCACAACTAACGTGTCTTTTATTTATTTTTTAAGAAAGGGAAATAAATGCAACCACTTGTGTGAGATAATTTTGAATCTACACTATTTGAGAGATCACATTTTGATATCGCGATAGTAATGCTGGACTTTGAGGCATTTGACTGTTGATCATCCATGAGGTTGTCACTACGATTCCTGGGGAGTTATTTCCGAATGAACGGCGGAAATTGATCGTCTATACTTGGAACTGTTCTAGGTATTGAACTGAGGTGTACCGCGTTGTTTTGCGTGATATGAACTTGAATCTGAAGGATAAAATCCTTCATGCGATGTTATTTGTGTTTTGCTGTCTGTCAAACTGCACTGGATTCCATGGAAAATATTTACTGATCCTTTATAGGTTTTCGGAACAAAAATGACTAGCACTGTCTTCGATTAGAACCATCGACGAACTTGGTTCTTCACCTGTTTGGTTTTAAAAGTCTTGTCCGATTATAATCCTTTTATGCTTTGTTGTTATCAGATGCTAGTTAATTTATTCTCTAGGTGTTTTCACTAATGAGAATTAACCCGTAGGAAATGTTTCTACATGAATTCTACCTCATGTTTCATCACTCTTTAGAACATTGTTTTGTGAACAACATCAGTGTGTCAGCAGACTCTGTAGAGGTGCATAAATCCTAATGCACAGACAGCTCAGAAGAGTTCAAAAAGACAAGCATTCGTAACAGAGCCTGGTCCAACTTTCATTGTGTACATAATTCCGTATTGAAAAGGAGAGTGATTATCCTGCAAGCCATTTCCACTGTTCTGATTCTAGTCGATTTTGGCGGTACCCGGCAGATTTGCTCACATAGCGCACGTAGACTCCGTGGAACGGGACATCGGGATCATTTTAGTCAGCTGCTGGAGACACTGAGTTTTATAGCTGAGAGTCGTAAACACTGGCGCTAGTGCATCTACTCAATTTCGCCGCAGCTCCAATCATGTGACAGCGACCAAAACCGGCGCACGAAAGTG